GACCCAGACGAGGATGTCGTGGTTGAACTAGCAGTGCTGGTGGACATGAATGACGAGGCTGTGGAGTTGCGGCCTAAACTTGGTAAGCATATACACACACAACCGGGCGGCGACGAACATACGCGAGTCTATCGCTTGTGAGAACATTCTCTGAATTAGATGTGGAGGATGCCTCGCCAGCAGGGCCTCAATATGTCGCATAGACTCCTCCGGTATGTCTAGATTGTCCTCCATGTTGGCTAGAGAGCCGTATGCTCAGTTCAATTCGCGCGACAGAGGACTACTGTAACATGCCGACTACACCTCGCGACAATTCAAACGAGTGAGAAGCTAAAACGAACGACAGGCGGAGGTGCAAAGGAGGGTGGGGAAGGGTATCCAGGTGTCGCGGTAAGACTAGGGGCCAAGGAGTGGATAATCGTGTATCCGAGCAGGCATCAGCTGCTGTTGGTGCGACAGGTTGATATACAAGTGGGATCACCTCACGCAAGACTGCAGCGGGGAGCGCGGAAACGGCACTCTTCTAGAAGACGTATGGAAGGATTGTAGAAGAAGCTAATTGTGGGTTGCTCGCGGGGGCGCTCGTGCGCAACATCGACATGACCACTGCCCTGGTTTGGCCTCAAAGCTGGGGCAAGGCTGAGGTTACGACAGGCGTGCCAATCTGTAGCGTGTTTGAGATGGCCGCAAGGAACCGTAGTAGGGGCTGAAAGAACACGAGGACCAGCGACGAGAATGAATGAAATGATGTGCGCACATCCACGACAAAAGTCTCTGCCAGCGTGGGTTTAAACACGGTTTGCCTAGGTCGATTCCGGTCGAGATATGGCCAGGCAAAGTGTCTGCGCGAGGCGATGATTCGCACAGACGTGGTGTGCAAAGCACGCAACCTATCGCAGATACGCAACAGGCCATTCGCAACGAAGCCATCCGAACACTAGGCCCTGTAAGGGGCATGCAGCGCGGTACCTGGATGACGCACCGCTGGTTAACTGCTGGAAGCGTGTTGGTGCCGTGATGAGTGACATTTTTGGTGGGACCTGACATGAGCTATCTGTTCATCCTGCACGCCGAATATCGGCATCACGCCGTCGCTTAATCCGGAGACCCAGTTCTTGCAGTTCGCGCCAGACGATGAAGGATTCACACCATCTGGCAACCACCGTCGACTGACGCAAGACTTGCTCGCAATGCTCATAACTCACGCAGATCAATCAGGACTCGAGTACCATGCCCACGATGATGAACTTGAGACAGGTGGCTGACAGAATGGGGTGCTGACGGCAGAAGCACGTCCCCCATGCATAACCGGTAGCAGCGAATGAATGCTTCGGGACTGTGATTGTAGCAGTTGGGCTGCTGCAGGCCGTCATCGCTGAAGATGCCCATGCAACTGGACGGTATCGCGTAATCGACGCGCAGTGAAAGGACACTTCGACTAGTGTAGGGTTAATGTAAGGAGACGGAAGCCTGCCACAACGGGCAGGAAGAGGCCGGGTAAATCCATTAGTTCAAAGATAACAGCCTTAGCTAGAGCGTTCGACTGCTTGGTATGAGGACCCGGACGGTGCGGTAACATGAAGGTGTAATTAACAGCATCACGCTTCTCCCGGGTTGTGTTCAATGTACCCACAGTGGGGCGGCGTCCCTGATGAAAGCGGCGCGATTGTTCGGGTCCCGAAACGCCACGGCACTTTTGGGGATCGTCCAGACCGCGAACGATTTCTTCAAACCGTTGAACAAACTTTGCCTGGGCGCGGATTTAAGCAGTGCACCATTGGCGCGACACCGGCTTAACGTTGAATTGTAAGTCACGTGGGCGCATGCGCAGTTCTTTCGGAGGTCGCGATGCTCCACAATCCAGAAGCAGCCAGTGTTACACCCCTTCATCGATCCGTCCAACGATCTACACGACGACTTTCGCTCAATGCATGCCGTCTTCTTAGGCTCAATAGATGATAGCGCACGGCACCCGGCGCGTCGGTCTAATTTATCTAACACGAAGCATAACGCTTGTCCTATCATTATCTGATTATACAAAGTGTCCATCGCAGTCAAAGTTGCCTGCCGTCTTGAAGTTACAAGAACTCTCCAATCCGCCCCCGGTGATATGAACGTCGTCAATCTTGATGTTGCTACAGCTTCCCTCTCCACAGAGAATATAGTAGTTCTTTCCCTCCTCTGTTGCAGTACCGGTGATGTTCCTCATGACAATGTTCTGGATGATGACACCGTTCGTTGGGTTGCCGGTTGGTCCACCGTTCAGGTAGTCTTGCTGGATATCAATTCCGTAGATGGATATGTTCTCAACGCGAATGTTCTCGAAAAGGATATCGGAGATGAAGCCGGTAGTGTTCGAGTTCGACTTGATGCGGGCTCCGTTCTCAGCGTTCAGAACGACAGAGTTGGTGAAGGATATGTTGGTAACATTGTTGTCTAAAGGATAAGGTTAGTGGGACGCGATCGAAGATGGGTAATTGAAAGGATGACATACTTGACTTTCCGCCAACTGATCCAATGGAAAGACCGTGACTGCCGTTGCAGTACATGTTGTTAACCAGGATGTTGTTTCCGCTTGTGACAGCGACACAGTCGTCTTGGTTGATAACGACGCTGTCACGAACTGTGGTGTCATTGGTGCTTCCCAAGTCGAATCCGTCGCTGTTGTGTGATGCCGGTAGGCCGTTGGAGCGGTTGTTGGGTGCATATCCAGCGCTGTTGTTCAGCGTAATGTGGTGAATATCCAGACCAGCACTGTTACTAATAGCGAAGCAGTGGACGGGATAGTTCTCGATGTAGATGTCGTGAACCGAGCTTTTCCCAAGAACCTTGCTGATCTCGATAAAGTGGTTTGGCTTGGTAAGGCCTCCGTTGCTACCAAGACCGTCCCACCAAGCTTGACCATTACCATCGAGCACCGCATCTGCGTCGGCTGTAATTTCGATGTTGGATCCTCCCACCTTGATGAAAGCATAGTTTGCATCGGCATATTCCCAGAATGTCTTTCCCTTGAATGTCACCTTGGTGCCACTCTTCAGCTTTGAAAGATCAATAGTTGAGTTTCCAGGCACGGTGAGACCATCAAGAGTTATGGAAGTGCAGGCCGCTGTTGCTGCTGGGATAGCCGCATACTCAGTCACGTAGCAGGCATCCGTAGTCGCAGTTGAAGACGGCGAGGGTACGGCGGCTGCTGTTCCTACAGCAGCAAGAATGACTGACGTAGATGAAGCTACAAGGGAGTTAGTACAGGGATGGTCCGTGTCGTATACTGCTTCTAGTACCTTGGAATCGCATTTTGAAGGGGTTGAACTGATGTGAATCTCAAAAACTTCTTACATCCACAGGGTACTGACACTACTGTATATATACGTTCATGATCTTGCGGCCCCAGAATTTCCGTCCAAAGGCCACCTGCATATCCCCGACGAGTCGCCACATAATTTTGCGCGCGCGGCCACTGTAGAAATCTGAAGCCTTGTCATTTCCGACCAGAAAGCACAAGCAATCCAAGCACTAAAGCCAAGAACAGGCAAGGCTTGACAGCAGCACCATGCAAGAGGAGGTGTTCGCCCCACCACCAGGCACTGGGAAGTCAGTGCTAGCACGGGGAACGGCTCGGAAGAACATGGGGCGTGGCCGGCCAGTCCGTGGCGAAAGAACAAAGACGCGTTCTGTTTGGTCGAAACATTGCAAATGTACGACATGAAACATTCATCCGGGGTGCCACCAGCACATGGTGGAAAGGCGGAGTGAATGCGCGGAAAAATGGATTCCGTCCAACGGTATGGCTACTTAGTGCGAAGATGACCAGATGACTGATCGCGGAAATGATGCAGGACGGCGGGAATTGCGTAGGCCATAAATAATCCACGATGTCATGCGCTATCAACCAGAGGTATCCAAAATTCCCTTATCCCAACGTACAAAGAAGAACCGAGAATACACATATACGGCAAACTGCAATCTATCTGAAATGATCGCAGCGCTGGTAGAAGGAAAGATTTACCTTAGAAACGTGAATTCGGAGAGAGCCATGTGACTAGCGGCTTGGCATGGCCCTGGTTTCCGGATTGATGCATGCGCAACCTTCTCGTTCCTCTGTGCTGAGTAGACCCTGACATAATTATGCAGGGCGCAAAAGGCCAAGATTGCAACGCGTATGTCAGCGGAAGTTACGGATGTATCAGAAAGCTTTGTAAGGCTTCGAGGCTTAGGTCAGGGCTACTTTTGCATTCTTCAATAAAGACCAAAACATACATGGATATGTATCTCAGGGGCTGAATCTGCCAACCTTCCGACGCCCATCAAATCGCAAGCTATCCTGCAATCATTCAATTTGATACAGGAATCACGCAAGGTAGCGTAGCTCATATCTAAGAGTATCTCAGCCGCAGTCGGCATATACGAACGCGTCGCACTTGTTCAGATCATAAGTCATACAAAAGTCCCGGAAGTATACCTTCACGCCTTTTCGAGAACTTTCGGACCGAACTAAATGCCGCACGTACAATCTTGCGTAACAGGCCTTGATATCGGTTGCTTACTGAGAAGGACAAACAAAGACTGCGATACATCATGACACATGCAAGACCATATCTTGAGTATGATCAATCGTTGAATAGGTCTTAGAGTTGACGGTCGATGATGACAAGCGAAAGAGGCTTTATACACACAGGCAGGCATATAGACACCCTGAAACCCACAGAGCTCGTGACGAGGCGTGAATGTATATCCACTTCTGTCGATCAAAACCTCCATATAAAATCTTACTAAGTGAGGCCAGAAGAATACAGCCTGCTCATTTCGGCATCTTGGGACACCAAAAACTCTGCTCCTGAACACTCGTTGGAGACTGTGTTGCTGCACGATGAAGATCTGGGTGCATAAAACACCATAGAATAGACCCACTCTCCTCTAAAGTTACCAGCTGCGATGCCACGACCTGTGAATCATGTCCTCTTTTCGATGCTTGACAAAGTCTTCAACTTCATTCTCGAGAATGAGCAGAACTGACATGATCCATACTTTTCACTCCTGGCAGACATGAGTCTTCGTAGAGGCTCAGGTTCCATGGCTAGGTGCGCATGAGTTTGTTCGAATGTTGCAAAGCAGCTCGTGAACGGGGGCAGGAGGCAGGGAAGTAGAAGGCCTCATATAAACTTGGCAAACAAAAGATATGACGAGACGTGAGACATGTACAGCAAGTGCAGACATGGTCTCCGTCTTCGTCACTTTTGATGTCCCTAAAAGACAACGGCCATTGCTGACACAATCGTCTACCAATAATCAGTCCATCAATCTTATACATCATTTTCATCGATTTACTCACAAAGCCAGTCACACCCACCCATAGCTTCATACCCATACCCTCGATCTTAGCTGCTTCTCCTTCCACCGGCGCCGTCACACTCGATGTCGACGAAGCAGAGTACTTCGCCGTTTTGCTTGCCCGCGTCGTACTAGAAGAGCTAGATCCTGTTGTAGAAGTTGCCGTTGCCGTCGAATCAAGAAAGGATTGCCAGGCCTCTGCAGGTGACAAGGTTGCCGTTTTAGTTGGATACGGGACAAATAACCCCGCCGGCGTATTTGTATTGGAATCTTGTGAGTTGTTGTCAGGTGCGTCTGGTGTTTCTGGTACTTCTGGTTCTGGCCGGTTTGGTCTTGCTGCCGGTACTTGGGGTTCATTGGGCACAATTGGCGAAAAGGGTTCGTCTGGTGTTATAGGTCTTGGGATAGGTCGCGGTGGCGGTGGAATAAAAGCCGCGGAGGATGTTGCGACAAAGAGAAGACATAGTAGGGTGTGTGGTAACATTTTGAAGGGACGTTAAAATTGGAGTCTGGAGCGGATGACGAGATTTGAGATATCGGGGCTGGTTAGGGAAAAGGTACAGGTCCTGGTACTTCTAGCCATGTTGTATATACCCATAAAGTCTGCGTGTTTCAAGGCGTCCAGATTGTGTCCAGCCTCATCATAACATTGCGGCGGAGCACCAACTGACAGGGTGGGAATACGCCTCGCGCTTCGCTTGGGCAGCCACCGCCTAATCAAGTATTGGGGGCCAAAAACAACAACTTCTAACTTCTCCTCAAGTAAACAGCTCGACAAAGTGGTCATACGCGAAACTTCTCTTAAGGCCTGAGTTGTCAATTGAGCGGAGAAGCAATATTAGACAACACCACGCCCTCTAGTATACCTAAAAATCCCAGCACCCTTATCAACGCCATCGCTATGCGCACGTACAAGGGTAGTACAACCGTTATAGTACATCGTACGAACCGACCAATCACATCTCTCACTTGTCCGCATTAACGATATATCTCGTCAAATGGCCTGGTATCCCGGAAACAACTATCCCATACTTCGTTGACTACCTTTCCAGCATGCTCTTGGTCCTTTATGCCTGGCCTAGCCATCATACTTAATGTCGCTCTCCGTCTAACACACGATTGTAGTTGTTCGGTGATGCGCCACTGGTTCCGTGTGAAGAACTCTCTAGAGAAACGACATTCGCCGCTGAGTGTGGAAGCGCGTATCTCAAGGCAAGCCTGGTGTCGCAGGTTCTCGGACTCGACTTTGAATTTTAGATGGTCCCACGCGTGAACCATCTCGTGCGCCATGGTGTCTTCCTGATGTCCGCGATTGCGGAACTTGTTGGCGCAGAGGAGGATGCCATGGTCGAGGGAGAAACCGCCCGATTGCTCATTCGTGCACATGCGGCACAGTATATTGTCCTTGTTCAGATCGCCTCCCAGCTTGTATACTTCATCCGACAGGAAGCGTATAATGGGACTGTATTGTAATAGGTATTCCTTGTTCGACTCGCATCGCTTGCATATCGAGTCTGCTTTTATCTTGTCCATTTCGCTGAAGTAGCCCTTTTCTAATTCGATGTCTCGAGAACCTGTCATGCGACCGAGCATTATGTTGAAGGTACTGCTCCATGTGTAGTATACGGGGTCGATCTTCTGAGGGGGTGGTTGGGCCATGGCGGAGAGGGATGCGCCATCGGGCGCCGTCTCGGGGTTTGCCATGGTATGGTTCGGCGGTGTGCAACTTTGGAGTTCGATGGCCGGAGTGAAGGGCGCAGATGTGTGGCGTGACGTACAACGATGTTTACTGTAGGGCGTGGTCTCAATTCCCGTCGCGAAAAGTTTAGGTGGAGATGGGGAAGGAGCTGGTAGCGCGGGGAGCCAATCGGAGGGAAGACGTCACCGCGAGCAAGGGAGCCCGAAGATCGCTTGCGAGGGAAACTTGGGCTTGTTCCAGTCATCAGTCGCGCAACAATATAAAGAGCGGCGTCTATGTGATGAAGCGCTGAGCTCCAACTACATCTCAGTGGTCCCTTCTCTCCTACAATATTCTTGACTATCCGGCATCTGCGCCTGCCGCCATTGCATCACACCCTCTTTCGCAATGGCTGTTCATATGCGCAAGCAGCCCGGCCAACTCACCGTCGTGATAAAACTCGGTAAATACAGAACAGTACTTAATTCGCATCGAAAAGAAGAGAACACCTGACCAACATAACCAGGAACTTCATCCATAGTTGACGAAAAAACACATCAGCCCCTCCTCTCCATCCTCTCCCTCATTGTCGAGACAGCATGCAGTCTACGCACCGCCGGGCATCGCGTCGTAATTGTATCCTCTGGCGCCATTGGTGTGGGTTTACGACGTATGAATCTCCCACGACGTCCAAAACACCTCCCACAAGTCCAAGCGCTTGCGGCTATCGGTCAAAGCAGACTGATGTCGCTATGGGATCAGCTGTTTGGCAATTTGGAGCAACCAATTGCTCAGGTGCTTTTGACGCGAAACGACATTGCCGATCGAACACAGTACCAGAATGCGCAGAATACATTCATTGAACTCCTGAGCATGGGTGTCATTCCTATTGTGAACGAGAACGATACTTTGGCCGTCACAGAAATCAAGTTTGGTGACAACGATACGCTGAGTGCTATAACTGCGGGTATGGTCCAGGCGGATTACCTCTTCCTTATGACGGATGTGGACTGTCTGTACGACAAGAATCCGCGCACCAACCCAGACGCAAAATCCATTGCTGTTGTGGAAGATATTGCAGAGCTGGCAGCAGATGTAAGCTCGGCCGGCAGTTCCCTGGGAACAGGCGGTATGAGCACCAAGATTGTAGCAGCAAGGTTGGCGACAAGTGCGGGTGTCACGACAGTCATCACGAAGAGTAGTAAACCAGGCAACATCTCGGGCATTATTGCGCACGCAGAGAAACAAAGAAAGGGAAGGATGTCAAGTCGAAATTCCGTCACCAACTTGCAGGAAGAAGGCGCAGCACACGCTCAAGCAGCCTTGCAAGACTCAAATCACGATCTCTCTGCATCTACAGCCTCGCTAGGCGATCAACAGCTCTCTGGAAGCGCATCGCCCAAACCAGAAGAACCAGTGCCCCTACACACCCGCTTCCTCCCGATATCCAACCCAATCCGCGACCGCTACTTCTGGATCTTGCATGGTCTTGCGCCCCACGGGACGATATACATCGACCAGGGTGCGTGGGCTGCGTTGAGCGATAAAGCTGGACTACTACCTGTCGGCATCGTAGAAGTAGATGGCCACTTCGCCCAGCAAGAAGCCGTACGCATTGTCGTTGTCAAACGTCTATCCAACCCATCACACTCTCCCAAACCAGTGCAATCACCAACGACCCCGCAACTGCCTACAACGCCTGGCGCTCTAGCCCACGGCGTACACGCCCCAATTCCAATTCGACATCCCCTTACGCACTCATCGTCATCATCGTACTCGATGAGTTCCTCACAGACACTGCAGCACCCACCCAATTACGAACTGCACAACCCAGCACCAATTGAGATTGGGCGAGCGGTAGTGAACTACTCAGCTACCGAAATTAGGAGAATCAAAGGCCTCCATTCGACGCAAATTAGTGAGGCGTTGGGTTATGCAGATAGTGAGTATGTGGCGTTGCGAGAGAACATCGCTTTCTTTGGGGGCGAGAGGAGTAGACCTAGCACGCCCGACTTTAGGCATGGAGAAAAGAAGAGTGAGATGGTCGAGGCGCATTGAGGCGGGTATCTTCATAGCGTGTAGATGGCAAATAGACATGGGTCAAGAATGAAGATTGAAATGCTTGCATTGCATGCGATGTGGGGTGTATACCCATGAATATACCAAACGCCAACGGCAAACCGAAGACTCCAAGCAATGCGACTATAAGCGCGACTAAGAAAAAAAATCAATGACTTCCGTGCAGAACGCCCTTTCGCCGTCGTAAATGTTAGACATTATGTAATGAAGACCAAGAACAAGTCTAGTAGCTCTCCTCAGATTGCTCTGAGCTGCTGCGGATCTTGCCCCCAGAGGTACGCTCGTAAGCTCGTGGGCTGCCCTTGCAGTGCTTCACGATCCACGGGTGTACCTCAACATCCTCGAGCGCGATACGCTTCTCAGGGTCAAGTACCAGGAGTCTCTTGATGAGATCCCGTGCTTCTGCGCTGACAAAGCTTGGGACTGTGTACTCTCCCCTCGCAATCTTGCGCTGTGTCATGACTTGTGTGTCCTCAAAAGGCGCTTCGCCGACCAAGAACTCATATGTCAAGACACCCAAACTCCACAGGTCAACCTTCTCAGAGTAGTAGTTGTCCTTGCCGCCACCGCGAAGCATCTCCGGGGGCAGGTAGTCGAGAGTTCCGCACATGGTGTTTCGGCGGTTGTTGGGTGCGTGAACCGACCAACCAAAGTCAGAAATCTTGATCTCGCCGTGAATGCCTACGAGGATGTTTTCGGGCTTGATGTCGCGGTGCATGACGTGCTTCTTGTGGAGGTACTTGAGCGCTGCGGCCATTTGGGCAATGTATTGAGCTGCTTTCCATTCTGGGAAGCGTTGTTCCTTGCGGAGGTGCTTGTAGAGTTCTCCCTTGCCGGCGAACTCGAGAATGAGGAAGATGCGCTTTGCGTCGTGGAAGTGACCGAACAGCTTGAGGATGTTGGGGTGAGTGAGGTGTGATTGGATCTCGATCTCTCGGCGGACCTGCTTCTCGACTTTGCCTTGTTGGAGCTCGGACTTGTGGAGGACCTTCAAAGCGCACACAAAGCCTGACGACCGTTCCTTGGCGAGGTAGACGCGACCAAACTTTCCCTTTCCAAGGGGCTTGCCGATTTCGAACATGCCCAGATGCCATTGTTTGGGTTGTGCGGGGTTTGAAGGAGCGGTGTAGATGGCTGACTCGGTAAGGGTGCGGCGGTGAGAGGGGTTTTGTTCTGAGGGGCGGCTGGCGCTTGCTGTGATGGTGACCTTGGCGATGTTGGCCGTCTTTGCGTTTTGTGTGGCAAGCTTCTGTAATGGAATTTGATGGGGCAGCTTCATGCGGTTTGCAGCTGATTGTGACGACGACAGGCCGGATGTGGTTGCCGAAGACTTTGACTCTGTTAGAAGTAGCTCTACACGACAGACGAATTGATGCACACCTTTGCCTTGTGGTAGGTCGTAGTGGTGGTCGTGGATGCGACCTGGTCGTCGTTCTCATCGTTGATGGTGGTGCGCTCAAAGGCGGCTTCGAGGTTTGCAACGTCGGCCATGGCGATGTCGAGATGCAGGCTGGAGCGACAGGAAGCAGGCAGTACGGCAGCAAAAGACGTGCCCAAGGGTATTATGGAATGCTATGTTGATGGTTGTTCAAGGTTCAGGGACGGCATGCCAGCTAGTTAACCACAAACAAGTGGGTTTCACACGTTGCTATGGGAGACGGCGATCGGCGGTCGGAGCTTTCGTTCGCGCCCCACTCCAAAGAAGCTCCCCGCCATCGGGCCCACCTGCAGCTGGCAGCGAAGAAGAGGAAGAAGAATCCGTACCGTCACTCGCCTCGCCGCATTATTTCAAAAGGGTCTCGTCGCATACATCTCATAATATGGCATCGCTCAACGGAGCGCCCGCCGATACCGTGGCACCTGGCCACGCCGACACGTCCATCACCAAGCAAGGCTTCACCATCACCACGCGCAAACTGCCCATCCTCAAGGCCGGTCCTATAGAAGACATGACCAAGAAGCTGGGCATTGCGCCGCCTGAGATGATATTCGGCGACAACATGGTACGGATAGAACATGAACAGAGTGGCTGGTACATCGAGTTCAATGCCTTCGATGCGCTGGATCTGGTGGACAAGACTGGCGACAAGATGTTCAAGGTGTCATACTCCAAAGAGTGGCAGCAGAACCGGTGAGGATTTATACCACGATGCCTTCTGAATGCCCGCCTGACAGCTCCCAGACAGAAGCAATTCGAGGATATCAAGGAAGTCGTCAAGCCGTTCGACTGGTCCTATAGCACAGATTACAAGGGCACCACACCGCCAACACCTGCCTTCGAGCCTACCGAGACTCCCATACCACTTGCTCTCCTCAAGCGACCTGACCCTATACACTTCTTCGACGAACTAGTCCTTTACGAAGACGAACTAGCGGACAACGGCATTGCCATGCTATCTTGCAAGATTCGCGTCATGCCGCAACGGCTACTATTACTTGTGCGCTTCTTCATGCGTCTAGACGATGTTATCTTCAGGATACGCGACACTCGGATATTTGTCGAGTTTGGTGACAATGTGGTGCTCAGAGAATATACGGCGAGGGAGGAGAAGTACGAGGATGTGAGAAAGAAGCTCGCAGGAAGAAAAGAGGATGTGCTTGCGATAATGCGAGACCCCAACCGCTTAGCGGAGCACATACCCATCGTGGAGCATAAGCTCGAGGGGCTGCAATTGAAGTAAGCTAGGGCGGATGCGACAGAACATCCAAAAGAAAGAAAACGGGCCCACCAACATGAGAGCAACAGCGTTAGAAGCGGTAAACGGCGAACTAAATCTGCAAAACCATCAACAAGGTTTGTGCTTTGCTCGTATACCTGTTGATCGAAACCAAACTAATCTTCTGTTCAGTAATCAACTTACCAGTACTCAGAAACCAAGCGTCTTAGTTTGGGAATCTGCCGTTCTACAAGCTTCAAGTACAGACGCACTCCACTTATCTTGCGGAAGCGTTGTCGAGATGCACCAATAACTCTCATGCGCGACGCGATGGTGATCCTCCATCCACTATCGTGTACATATCTAGCACATAATGCATGTAGTCGATCTTGAGCTTGATGCGCATCCATGCACAAACGATGTTCTGTGTGCGGATCTCAAGATCGTGTGCGTCTGGTCATCTGAACCGCTAAGCGTACTGAGATCTCGATGGAATCTCGAGCAGACGAGCCACATGAATGTTCATGCCCGAATGCAATTCTTCATGACAGGAATGAAGCATTGAAACTCTATCTCCCAGCTTTTATATTAAACCTCACCGCTGGTGCATGCAGATCGCCCTCAGTACCGTGCGCAAGCCGTTAGGACCTGTAGGAGGTTCCTGCCTTATCACCTCCCAAGAAACAATTGAGTTCTGTAGACGCTGAGATAAGCAAGTAAAATTGCACTAGTGCTCCATGACTGTTCATACGCGTGTACTCGATTATGTCAAGCGGATGTTGCATTCGTCCGAGATAATCCTTACTCAGGGGACCGTTGTGCACCGCCTCAGATTACGACCGAAAAGTGGAAAATGGATGGAACTCAACAGACAGAAAATCACCGGAACTTGTACAACACAGAGTGGACGTCCTCGGACCATCCGGATGGCCAGCGATGCCAGCAAGGGTTTGTACAATGGAAGACGGGTACCGAGAAGCGCGGCAGACGTAATGGAGCATCCCGAGCGATCCCTCGTCCGGAAGTAGTAAGCTGTCGATCGCGGACCAAAATAAGCGTTGGACGACAGATGCGACCCAGCATCACCACCTGTAGAGGTAAGCAACAACCGCGCATACTGAGTAGATTCGGCTTCTCCATGATGGTGGCCATATATCCTGCTTCGACTAAATGCTATGATTGTGGTGGCTTCTTCTTGGCTGCTTCCGCTTCCGCCGCCGTCCGGGCTGTGATGTCATGTTGAACATAGGAAAAAAGCAGACTCTTGACTGGGCGCCCAGTATAGTAAGACTAATTGCGGTCTCGAACCAGCACGCCGCAAGCACACTGAACGTGGACCCGCACACTTCAAATTCGGCCCGTGTAGCGCGCGCACGCTCCCAATCATCTACTACGGTGAAGGACGAATCTTACTCAAAAGGTCCAAGCATCTCGTCCGAGGCGATGGTGCCAGGACTAGTCGCGGGCATGGGGAGTGTCCGCCATCCGGGGTGCTATGACAACATAGGTCCAAACGTTGTCTAGGAGTCGATATATGTTGAACGGTCGCAGGTGGTCAGCAAAATAAGACAACACCGACGTTGACATTACACGCCAGCACTCGCCGCTGCAACCCACCATGGCTGACTTCAAGTCCAACGGCGAGGCTAACATGTCGGATACGTCATACTCTCATCAAACACAAACCCACAATACTGCCCAATCAGGGTCAGAATCTCAGACTCCTGCCCACGGTGTTGTTCGAACCGCTTCTGGCCGCGAAACCTACTTTCCCGATGGCCATGCTCATGGCAACCACGGACTCTTCTCATCGCACTCCTACACACAAGAAACATCAACATCGGCAGGACATGGATTGTTCTCTTCCACCGAAGCGTCCCAATCTCATCCTACGGGAGAGGAGGTTGTGCCTCTCGAGAAAGTCAACACATCAAGCTCATCCGACTCTTCGGAAACAAAATTCGGATCCAATGGGGAGTCGCGAAAAGTAAAGCGAACCGCTACTTCATCTTCATCCGACGATATGGCTGGAGGCACGCTTCAACGTCGTGCCACCCGCCCTGAAATCGACGACGATGGCAGGCGGGAGTTGGCGCGCATCTTCACATCAGCTTCGAGAGTGACACAGCAGATGAGCATTGCGCAGCCCAATGACCCACGAGTGGACCCCTCCAATGAGGCCTTTGATCTTAGCAAGTTCTTGAACATGTTCCGGAACCAGCTTGAAGGTGAGGGCATCGAGATGAAGAAAGTCAACGTTGTCTACAAGAACCTCAACGTTTTCGGTTCCGGTAAGGCTCTTCAACTTCAGGACACCGTCGCGGATCTTTTCATGATGCCGTTCCGAGCGAAGGAAATCTTCGGCAAGTCAGAACGCAAGCAGATTCTCCACAGCTTCGACGGTATCATCCGAGCCGGCGAGCTTTGTGTAGTACTTGGACGTCCCGGATCTGGTTGCTCAACACTTCTGAAGGCGCTCACTGGTGAGCTTCATGGTCTGGAGACAGATGACTCACTCATCCATTACAACGGCATTCCCCAAGAGCGCATGCGCAAAGAGTTCAAGGGCGAGACAGTTTACAACCAGGAAGTCGACAAGCACTTCCCTCATTTGACCGTAGGTCAGACTCTCGAGTTCGCTGCGGCTGTCAGAACACCATCGAACCGACCCGGTGGAGCCACCCGCGACGAGTTCTCCCAGTTCATGGCTAAGGTCGTTATGGCTGTGCTTGGACTGAGTCACACCTACAATACCAAGGTTGGAAACGACTTTGTTCGTGGTGTTTCCGGTGGAGAGAGGAAGCGAGTATCAGTTGCCGAGATGTTGCTGGCTGGCGCCCCCTTCGCGGCTTGGGATAACTCAACTCGTGGATTGGACTCTGCTACTGCACTAAAGTTCGTCAAGGCTTTGAGGGTCGGCTCAGATCTGGCTGGAGGTGCTGCTGCGGTGGCCATCTACCAGGCTAGTCAGAGCGTGTACGACCAATTCGACAAAGCCGCCGTTCTCTACGAAGGTCGTCAAATCTACTTTGGCCCTGCTAGCGAGGCGAAAGCCTACTTCGAGCGCCAAGGATGGTACTGCCCACCTCGACAGACTGCTGGAGATTTCCTCACAGCCGTCACCAACCCAGATGAGCGAAAGCCCAGGGAGGGTATGGAGAACAAGGTACCACGCACGCCAGAAGACTTTGAGAAGTACTGGCGCGACTCTCCCGAGTACAAAGCCCTACTCGAGGAAATCAAGGACTTCGAAGCCGAGAACCCAGTCAACGAGCACGGCACTCTAGAGACACTGCGCCAGCAGAAGAACTACATCCAGGCCAAACATGCCCGCCCCAAGTCTCCCTACCTCATCAGTGTCCCTATGCAGATCAAGCTCAATACACGACGAGCGTACCAGCGTATTTGGGGTGACGTAGCCTCTACAGCCACACAAGCCGGTCTTAACGTTGTCATCGCTCTCATTGTCGGTTCCATCTACTTCGGTCACTCCAATGGCTCCAGCTCGTTCCAAGGTCGTGGAGCAGTCATTTTCTTGGCCATTCTCTTCAACGCCCTTACGTCCATTGGTGAAATCTCAGGTCTATACGCCCAGCGCCCTATTGTTGAGAAGCACAACTCGTATGCATTCTACCACCCGTCGACCGAAGCTATCGCTGGTATTGTTGCCGATATACCTGTCAAGTTTATACAGGCTGTAGTCTTCAACATCATTTTGTACTTCCTGGCACAGCTTCGGTACACCGCTGGACAGTTCTTCTTGTTCTTCATCGTCACGTATATGGCAACCTTCGTCATGGCAGCTATTTTCCGCACAACTGCAGCCGTTACGAAAACAGCGTCGCAAGCTATGGCAGGCGCCGGTGTCTTGGTGCTTATCCTCGTTATCTACACTGGTTTCGTTATTCGCATTCCCCAGATGCCTGATTGGTTTGGCTGGATCCGATGGATCAATCCCATTGTAAGCTTGTTGCTCGCTCTTCTACCATCAAACGCTAACACTTTCTCTAGTTCTATGCATTCGAAATCCTCCTCGCCAACGAGTTCCATGGGGTCAACTTCCCTTGTGATAGCTTCATCCCTTCAGGTCCCGGATACTCCACAAATGGCAACTCGTTCATCTGTGACACTCAGGGTGCAGTTGCTGGACAGACGTTTATCAACGGTGATAGCTTCATCGAGGTTTCGTACTCGTACTCCTGGAGCCATGTTTGGCGCAACTTCGGCATCCTTTGGGCTTTCCTGATCTTCTTCTTGGTTACCTACTTCATCGCCGTCGAGGTCAACTCTTCCACATCCAACACCGCTGAGCAACTCGTCTTCCGACGTGGTCACGTTCCAGCCTACATGCAACCTGGTTACAGCAAGGGTTCAGATGAGGAAGCTGGAGCTGCCGGTCATGGTGAGAATGAAGGTGCTGGCGATGTCAGTGCTATTGAGGAACAAAAGGGTGTTTTCACTTGGCGTGATGTCGTCTACGATATCGAGATCAAGGGTGAGCCACGCCGATTGCTCGACCATGTCTCTGGTTTCGTCAAGCCTGGAAGTATGACCGCCCTTATGGGTGTCTCGGGAGCTGGAAAGACTACGCTTTTGGATGTTCTGGCTCAGCGAACCACCATGGGTGTCATTACAGGCGATATGTTCGTTAACGGCAAGCCTCTCGACCCCGCATTCCAACGCTCGACCGGTTACGTTCAGCAACAGGATCTTCATCTTGAGACCTCAACCGTCCGCGAAGCATTACAATTCTCCGCTATGTTGCGCCAGCCCAAGACTGTCAGCAAGAAGGAGAAGCACGATTACGTTGAAGAGGTCATCAAGATGCTGAACATGTCCGACTTTGCCGAAGCTGTTGTTGGTGTTCCTGGCGAGGGCCTGAACGTTGAACAGCGCAAGCTCTTGACAATTGGTGTTGAGCTCGCTGCCAAGCCGAAGTTGTTGCTCTTCCTTGACGAGCCCACTTCGGGTCTCGATTCACAGGTCAGTATTTCCACACCAATATATATCTTGCTGACGATTGCTAACTTCTGTACAGAGTTCCTGGTCTATCATCGCCTTCCTCCGCAAGCTCAGCAATGCCGGCCAAGCCATTCTTTGTACCATCCATCAGCCCAGCGCCATTCTCTTCCAAGAGTTCGACCGTCTCCTCTTCCTTGCCCGTGGTGGTAAGACTGTCTACTTCGGCGACCTTGGCGAGAACTCCC